ATCTCGAGGTGTACTCTTTCATGCTCTTCAATTCGAATGATAAATCACATGAAAAATAAAAACCGTCTCGCTCTTTGTGAGGCTTATACTGTATGAGAAAAATATTTGTTGAGTTCAATTCAATATCTATAATAATTTTCGTAACTTGGATGGGTACTCACCTATCCAAGAGATTGATACCATAGTTCGTAGATGAATGAACCTTTCCAATTCTGCAACGTTATTAATTTGGTTATTAAAATAACGTTGAATCCGATACGTTCCTATAACTTATAAGCACTTAACGTCGTTGATATGTTGGCTGACAAATGCCATAGATTTGAACCTAATAGACACTAGAAGAGTGTGAGACAAACGTTATATTTTACTAATCACCACAATGAACCATTTTTCAATGACGGCTTATGTATATCGATTCTTGTTTTATATATATTCTAGGAAATACTAGTGGGACGCAGTCGAATGTGAACAATTAGTTAGATTTTTTTCGTTATCTGTCAAACGTTAATTTTCTTTATCGAATCTAACGAAAAAATTTCGAATAGAATATTATGTTGATAGATACAAATATATACAAATATAGAAAAGTTTGCCGGTTTATCAGATTTCCAATGCATTTTAACTACGAGTCGACCAGGACAAAGTTCACCAGATATACGCGATGGATGATCAAGTATTCAACTGTACCACTGTTCCTTCCCGTGCATACTGTTTTGCTACAATCACAATTTACGTGCAGAATTCCAAGATATCGGTTGATGATGGCTGTTTTCAAATGAGACACCCTGTATATTATTACATTCTTAGATTCTCCCTTCTCTAATAGCACACAATGTCCTAGGGATTTCCCTATTTGGTCCTCAAGTGGGACATTTGTGCGTCCCGCAGACGTCCAATGGACGTCCACGGTACCAAATTCGAACGTCCTATGGACGTCCTGAATGTCCCGACTGGACGTCCTAAGGATATCCATGGGACATAAGCGTGTTATTAGGGTTAAGAGCTCATTTCATCAATGTATCGCACTTGAGGACTAGCTGAAATGTTTATAGAGATATAGGGTGTTCAAAACCCATATTTTTCAACTCTGTGATTTTTTTGTGTCAAAACTATTTATTATTGGTCGAAACGGCTTACATGTCCCTATCTAAACTTTTGATTCACCATCTACTGACACTTAATTGGAACAAATACAGGGTGGTTCAAAATTCAATATTATTTCTGATCACCCTATATCTATTCCAATTAAATTTCAGTAGATAGTAAATCAAACGTTGAGATAGGGACATGTAAGCCGTTTCGACCAATATTGAATAGTTCTGACACAAAAAAATCGATTCTGAACACACTATATCTCTGTAATCATTTCCGCTATACCACAAGTGTGATACATTGATGAAATCATCTCTTTAGGGAAAATTCGAAAATGCAATAATATACAGGGTGTCCAATTCAAAAACACCCATCATCAGGCGATATCTTGGAACTCGAACATCCTATAGATATATTAATATATATTTTTTGTTTCACCCCTGACATGTCTTATATCAACTATATGTATGATCAAGAAAGATGAATTTTATTATATTATCATTATTATTATAAAATTAGTTTAGGTGATAGCTCTCATAAAATTCTATAACTTTACTGTTGTATTCGAATTTTTTTTATATACCTGACGGTTTGGCTAATATTGAAGGAGAATACACTATTGACTCACCCTGTATAATGTGGTATCGCCTATAATACCACATTATAAACCTTTGCTACGGTTGAGTTTGACATATACAACTTTCGAAAATCAAGTTCTCTCGTGTTGGATATTTTGGATTTATAAGCACCTCTAACCTCAACCTCAATTTTTTTTCAATGTATGGGTACTCATCTGAACTGTATCATTCTTGATTTTAATAATGTTAGTGAAATATCTACAAACTGGGGTTAAACAACACCGTTAGTTCAAAGTTAATTAGATACAAAACGAAAAACTCTAATTTTTTCATTAGATTAATACCTACCGGGTGGGTCATGACACTGTTAGTCAAAGGCTTATAATTAGATCATACGAAATCTGACTTCGCTAAACTGCTTTAGTAGTAATCGCAGAAGCACATCGAAAGTATTTAAAGAATAAAAAAATTCGAACGTCATCTTATATGACACTAGAATGATACCCAACAAAAAATAGTTATTTGTTGTACTAGAGGCAGAAAAGGACAAGATTCAATGAAGGGGCTGGTTTTTCAGGCCAAGGCATTGAATCTTGTTTTCTGCCAAGTGAAACATTAAATATTTTCTCCAAATGTATTAGAACCAATTTTGTGTTAATTTTTATCGAGAACTCCATTATTTTGTGTTCATCCAATGTCACTGTCATTCCCCATTTTATTCAAACTACTTGGAACTGCCTAGGCAGAGAAATCACACCTGCTGTTCTGCCTGTTAAATGTCATGAAAAAGCCACGTTCGATGAAATTTGAAGCGAAATAGTTTGTTATACTAAGCAGCAAAGTAGTAGATTGACTACCGCGGCTGATAGTTCATAGTTGCTGCCATGTGAAACATTTTTTTTCCGCAAATGTTACAAAAACCAAATTTGTGTGATTTTCTGTTGAAAACTCCATCAATTACAAGCTGCAAAATGATTAACGATCTGCTGCATACTCCGAAAAAATTATTCTTCAGGAACTAGAAAGTTAATAATAACATTTCATAGGTAGGGAGATTCAATGATTTCCATTTTGCATTCACTCGGCCACTGTGAATTGACTAGAAGTATGTATATATAAGGTGTTCGTCACAGATAAAGCATCCTATTCTGAGTGTTTTCTATTGTGTATTTTAGTGGCGTTTATTCCAGGTGTACTTAGTTGATTCGCTTTCTCAATAAATATAGTGTTATCATTCATACTGCGATCACTTTCATCTTATTGTTTTCAGATAAGAATATTCTTTGACATGTTTTCAATGAATTAACTACACCTTGACATGAAATTCGCAATAATCTTTCAAAATTCCCGCCTTTTTCAACTGTGAAATGCTCTGACATGCGCAGTAACGATCATAGCATCTCAGAGAGATGCAGATATATTTCCTTCTTCGTTTAATATGAGCGATGAGCGTATTTTCGACACATTGTTGATATAGGCGATTAGCAGTCCAATTCAGCGAAGCCAGATCCTGATTGGTCTAAGGTCAAGAGGTTAGTATAAGGATTACTCAGTAATAAGTTGCCACAAAAACATCCTGCTCAATCGACAAACTGTATCTCAAGTTCGTGGCCAGCCATTTCTGTGAACTAAATCCATCCGTTTCACCGACATAAATAACTAACTAGACCGCTAATGCCATAAGAAAAAAGCTATGCCACTCACAGAATCATGCGCATTTACGACTTGTCATATACAATGAACTCAATATAAACACCTGGGAAGGAGACGGCCGGTTTCTCGAATAGCATAAAGTGTGTCAGGTCAGGGGCAGCTGCAACAAAGATAGCTGTGTTACGGTAACCTGTCTCTTTCATACTCGTGTTGTTCAATAGCGGATTGGTGTATAAATTGTCTTTTATCCAATGATTGGAGTACTTGAGATTTTTTTTCTCATCTAAACGGGCGAAAAAGTGAAGACAGAACTTCATTGTTTTTTGTTATGTGAAATATCGCTAAATTTGGCGTGTTTTGTTTTTCCAAACGGACTGAATTTGTTGGTGTGAATTGATTATTGTTTTGCCTTCGGATGCAAAATAAGCAAGGCAAAGAGAAATTGTCCTACATGGGTAAGTTAAAAATTGTTCAGATATTTGGAAATATTATAGTTATTTTCAGGAAGTGTATGTGTCTGTCGATGTTTATAGCTTGGATTCTAAGTAGGTACAATGTTTTTCATATGGACATTGATTCGCTTACAACTTCCAGCTCCTGTAAGTTTCAAAGTTTATTGTTAACGAAACCCACAAACTGATGTTTCATTCGAGAAGGTCTATTCTATTGCAAAGAAAATGAAATCACTGAAATAAAAAGTAAAAAGGAGAATGACAATCTTGATGAGGTACTAAAAAACATTTTGAAGGTGAAAACTACAAGTTCAAATTTTTAAACTGAAGAGCTACACCATAATATTGTCTTTTCAGATTTGCCTTTGTAGCTTATCCTTCTCCAGAAAGAAAAAAATGAAGGTGTACATTCTGCGCGACGCATCAGATATTCATCTTCAATGAAAAAATTCGTCCTAGCATCGTACTTGTATTTACTTTTTATTCACCTCCCATTCACCTAATAATGAAATGTTTATGGAAAAATAGGTAATCAAAAAATTAGGCTTAAAATAGATCTTAGGTACCTATACTCGATACCATTCAAGAGCTTTTAGAATGTTTTCTTTTTTTTTCTATTTCTTCTGATAGTGCTGAGACATTAGGATTCGCTCACCCTGTACAGTATATTGTGACATTTGAATAAGAATATATAATTTCGATTTTGTTTTCATTTGCGTTCCTAATCCTGTAAGAATAATGAAGGAATTTCAATTTTGAGTCAATAAAAAAATCAATAATTATTTTCGAATAATAATTGACTGCAACATTATCTTTTTTCTTAAATGCATATTTCTATTTAATCACGTATACTCTTGAAAGAAGCAAAAAACAAGAGGGATATTTCAAAGAATGCGAGCACTTCCCATTAGCCAACATAAGATAGAAAGAGATATGTATATCCGTGACCACGCGGGTTGCCTGAACAATATTTTTGCCTCACTCCTCGTTCACAGCAGCGTACAATTTATGTAAGCTGTTCACAGAGGATCCCTTCGTGTTTATATTGTGTTCATTGGTCATCTGACTCACTCTCACTCATGTTTTCGAACAGCAAGAGATCAATTCATGAACGATAGTTTGGGAGTGCTTGCGCATTGAGCAGTAGCGTTTTCAGGCAAGATATGACATAATAGAGGTCTAGGTAGTAGTTATATGTCAGTGATTCGTACACCTAAAAACCTCTTCAACGATAATCGAACAGCAAATACTTGGCCAAACATTTGGGCAACTCGAACCCGTCCACGGCGTCGATCATTTCTGCCCCCAGTAGTCTTCTCAGGAACAGCCTCACCTGGAGATATTAGAAATTAATGAATCAATAATCAAAAATAACAATAATATATCCTTGAATGTACCACAAACATATTTTGACTGTCCTCAAATATTTTTCGACGTTCTGAAATGATTAGTACCTTTACAGGGTGTTTAAAAAAAACTCGACCCCCCCTGCTAGGGTAGGAAAATAAGTTGGGTGTGCTCAGTGAAAAAATGTCGTTACGGCATCCGTTTTCATGACACAAGGTGTTGAAAAAATGATTTTTCTACACATTTTTCACGATTATGTCGAAACTACTGGCAACATTGTAATGAAATTTTGTATGTTTTTATATCTGACTCTCATGGAGGGCGCTAGTTACACGGGTCGTACCGAGTAGTTAAGAACATAACTTTTTTGAGGATATATTGTTCAATCCAAATATGATATGAACTTGAACATCATTTAATTATACACCAAAAAGGTACTTTTGGTGAAACTCGATACTATGTTCCGTTTTCGGAATCTTTCGATTTGAAAATAATGGAGTAATAGCTGATGCTGGTATATAATGAATCTTATTTAGTTCACTTACCTATTTATTCAGATTCAAAAACAATAAGATTATTCTTGTGCTGAAGTTATTGGTGGAACAAGAAATCATAAGTGATAAATTAAGAGATATTTGACTAGAAACATGAAATATTGAATCAGTTAGAGTAAGTGTTCATAGATCAGCCGGTAGGTCATTTTTGGTGATGTTCAATTATGTCTTACAACTCTTGACGTGATTTAGGTACCTATGTAGCATAGACTTTCTGCTCACGATACAACAAAACTGTGTAATCCATGTTCTTAGTCAAATCTGTATCGATGTTATTCTTGTGATTCATTGTAAAATCAATGAATTCAGCATCAGAAATGTATTGTTTTTTTTTCGGTTTTCAATAAATAGGTGATAATTTTTCATAATACTCACTCTTTTACATAGCTTTATACCTGCAACACTTATCACCTCATCATTTTCAGATCGAAATATTCCGAAAACGGAACACAGTATCGAGTTTTACCAGGAGTACCTTTTTGGTGTGAAATTGAATGATGTTCAAGTTCACATCATATTTGGATTGAAAAATCTAACCTCAAAAAAGTTATGTTCAAAACTACTCGGTACGAACCGTGTAACTAGCTCCCTTCATGAGAGTCAGATATAAAAACAAATGCATGCGATGTGTCAGATTCCAAAAAACATCCATTCAAAATTCAATTACAATGTTGACAGTAGTTTCGACATAATCTTGAAATATGTGTGAAAACTCATTTTTTCAACACCTTGTATCTTGAAATAGGATGCCTCTACGAAATTTTTTTACTGAGTAAATACAACTTATTTTGAAATCTTCTACCTACCCTAGTAGATTAGATTAGATTTGATTTGGAATGGGGCTATCTGCCTCCACACTGCGACCTTTTCAGATCTATTGAGTCTGCCCTCAAAATCGATTAGAGTTCTTCGGCTAGCCCCGCCTTCTCTATGAGACTCCATAGGCTAGCTTTCAGATCTCCTGTGTATCTCTGGGCTCCTGGTTTTTCCTCACCCAGCGTCAGGAACCTTAGTCTTGACAAGCCCTCACAGTGGCAAAGTATGTGTACTGCTGTTTCTTCCTCTTCTTGACAGAACCTGCACAGCAGTTCTTCAGTCAGACCTATCGTACTCATGTGTTTGTTGAGCCTACAATGCCCTGTGAGAAGTCCCACTAGTATTCTAGTTGAACTTCGTTTCTGGCTTAGTAGATATTCTGTGAATGTTGGCGATGGTTTTTTAATAAACTCTTCTGCCTGTCTCATTCCTAGCGAGTTGTTCCACTATTCTTGAGATTTGGTTTGCATCCAAGATTTGATACTAGTCTTTTGTATAGCTTTCGCAATACCACAGAAGGGTTCTGGGCCATTAAGAGCTTTGTTTGCTCCTGCTCGGGCAAGTGAGTCTGCCTCCTCATTGCCCTCGTGCCCTGTATGTGCTGGTACCCATGCTAGAGTCAATCTGTTCTGACTGCCCAGTGCATTTAGGGTTTCTAAGCAGTCCCATACTAGTTTTGAGTTAACTTGCATAGAGTTGACTGCTTTGATTGCCGCCCTAATAAGGGGGTCAGGTTTATTTGAAACACTTTGTATACAATGTGGGCAAGATATACAGGGTGATTCATTGAGAATGGAAAATCTCTGAACTACAGATAGTTAACACAAAAATAATGAGATTTAGCCCAATATTGCTGGTTTAGAAGATACAGGGTGTTCTAGGGGGAGATTTTATTTCAAAATTTCACAATACCTTCGTTAGTTTCAACAGCATGAACATGGAATCTTGTGTTTTTCAGGTTTTATGACATAAGGGATATGAATTTGCAATTTATTTTGTGATTGCTCATAGAGGGCGCTAGTCGTGACACTCTGTCACTTTACCTCATATCTTCTATGTCAATTCATTGATTCAAAATAAGTGGAAAATCTGAAAGCTCGTTCAATTTCACATGAGAAATGTACTCTTTATCAAACTGTCTAGCTTCCAGGTTTTTGTGTTATTCGCTCTTGAACATCAGATTCATTCTCCACCAATGACATTTTAATAATTTCATTTATTGTATTAAGAATGGGAAATGAAATGTAGTTTAAAAATATTGCTGGTTCAAGAGAGATACAGGGTGGTTAAGGAAAAGATTTTGTTTCAAAATATCTTTCAATATAAGTGGCAACGTCGTAACGCTGAGAATATTTTAGGTCGATAGAACACAACTAATTATCTAAGGAACCAAATTTTCAGAATGATCCCATGTTGCTTTCTCCAGAAACGTCTAATGTACCATTCACCGTGAATCAGCCTGTATATCTGACGGTTTGGCTAATATTGAAGGAGAACACACTATTGACTAACCCTGTATATTATTTATGACTAGCTCTCTATAACATGATTTTTCATTCATTACTTATACTAAAAAGTCATCACCGCCCCGTCCCCTTAGAAATATCATTATCGACGCCCCTGACTTCTACCATAGATTAACAGCCTCACCTGCCGCTTGAGAGGCAAAGGGCACTTTGCCAGCTCCAGCAGGGCCGATTTCTGCTCCGGGGACAGGACGTTGTTCCTGCGGATCATGCAGGGGTCGAAGGATTCGCAGGATTCCAGGAGCAGGAAGAAGATCGACTCGCTGTTGTCTGCTATCACGTTTTGCAGGCAGTTCAGCATGCCGTCCGGGTCTCTGAATTGGGTTTTCATCACTACCTGTAGTAAAGAACAATTATTGCTGACTATTCCACTCTTGATCTCGAGAACCAAACAGAATCGACTATTTTCACGGTTTCTTCTGTATTCTAGTGATATTTTATGTTTATTAAATTTTATCGGACTTGCTCTACCAATGCAGAAGCCGAATTGACCCACACGTGACCAACAAACCTCGTTTATCAGCGATAAAATTTTGACATCGTGTCTGGTCAAGATTGCTCTGGATTCAAATCTGAGACAGTACCTACTTTATTTTATTCACTTATAATTCGAGTTAGTGAGACATTTTGTACGAAAGGCAAGACAATTTAATTCTGACTGGACGTTTCATGTGTAATTTAAAAAGTTTGCATATTTGTTGACGGTCTGACACAACAATACTAGAATTCAAATTCCTTTTTAAAGTAATCTTCTTCAATGACTCAAGTTATTGTGACTATTATTACCAGATGATATAGTGCAACTGATAGGGTTGTTGCGCGAGGATACGAAGGTCGGTGGTTCGAGCCCCTCGGCGACGATATCTTTTTTTGAATAATTTCATGTCACATAAATAAATTGGATAGCAATTGTATACACACTCTTTTGAGAGCAACCATCTCCAACATAATAAAAAAATACTGTTTATCAAAATTGTACATTCCACTTTGTGAATAACTATAAGTAGGTAGTTAATTTCAAAAAAATCAGTTTCTGTATTTCATTACTATCATTTTATGTTCTTCTTCGGAGTTTGAGTTGGAATATACTTAAATTATGTTTCCTATTTCTTATATATATTGTCTCATTCAATTTTGAAATAGTCATACGAATACAACTCGTGATACTATTTTCCTGGAAATATTCGTCGATTGACATACTCCAGCTTGCTGCTCTAATTTCGCTCATACCATTGATCCAAAACTACTCGCCTACAACTCGTAGTTTTGATAACAATGTCATTCACGAAATAACTAGGCAACAAGCTGTCGTAACAATCACCGAATATTTCCGACAAAATATTATCACTTGTGGTATTATATATGACAATACATGTGCTGTTACTAACAACATACACAGTGAAAAAAGATAACACCAGTTCACACCAGCTAACACCCTTGGGTGTCGCTTGAGGCCGTGATTATTTTTTTCTACTAGCGTGCGGAAAAGCTCCCTTTTCCGCAACTTAAGTTTTGATAGCCACTTTTAGTAAAAAAAATCGTTTTAAGTTTTAAGGGAATATACTGAAATTTTAATACTCAAGATTTGTATTTCGTGAGGAACATTTTCAAACTCGCACTATTATTGTTGCTGCTTTCCATAGTTCATTGCGATAGTTGCAACCATGCAAACTTTCAAAAATCAAAATGTCAACTAAACTCATGTCAAATAGCTGTCAGCCGCTATTTCTTTGCTATGGTTATGATTTTTTTCATCGTTTGGAGCGCACGAAAGGAAATCCCTATAATGTTCAAAGAACATCGTGCGTTCCTAGGAAGGATAGGGACAGGAGGTAGGTATTGAAATTTTTCTTTGACTTCTGGAGATTATATTATGTTGTTGGGAATACTTCCTCAGGCAATGAATTCCAGGGCCTAGCCGTTTTATGGATGAAGGAGTTTTGATAAAGTGCTGTTCGAGGTTGACTACGAAAGGATGTGCTGACTGGGCTTGTCTAGTTCGTCTGACTGGTATTGCTAGTGAAGGGATGATAGCAGAGATTTCCGAAGAACATTTCCCATGGAAGTATCGATAGAAAAGTGAAAGGTCGCCGATCTTTCTACACGGTGTTCCAATGATGTCAAAGAGTGAGTGAGTGTGGCGTCACCCACCACGCGGATAACTCTTCTCTGGATGGAATCTAAGAGCATCAGCGTATGTTCTGGTGCTGAACCCCATATGTGGGAACAGTATTCTAGAACAGGCCGTATCTGCGCTTTATAGATCATGAGAAGCTGTTGAGGTGTAAAGTAGCTTTTCGTACGGAACAAGAATCCGAGTTTTTGTGAAGCGGCTTTTGCGATGGATCTGACATGATTATTCCATGGAAGAGTGTTGCTGATGGAAATATCGAGCATAGATATGGTGGGCTTGGTGGGGATGGTGGTGCCAGACATTACAATATCGGGCATACTGAGTTTTGCCTTTCTAGAGAAAATACAGGATTGAGTTTTGGTGGCGTTGAATTCAACTAGGTTGTTGGTTCCCGAGGCTGTGATTTCAGCAAGGTCTTCATTGACAGCATTGACCTGCCTGCGCCGTGAGTTCTGCATAATATATCAAAACCATATCTTTCAAGATTTTCGTAGTCACTATGACAACAACGATCTAATACTTTCCGGCCTAGTCCGGAAAGTACGTACTACCTGGACTAGGCCGGGAAAATGCTACTTTCTCAAAGAAAAAGTTTCCGGAGGGGAGGGTATTGATGATGGTTTCTGGAAGACGAAACGTCGGATTTCAAATTTGAAAACGCTAACTTGTAGGGAAAAAAGGTGCCATGATAAAGTGTTATTCCAAAGAATTTCTCCAAATAACTTGAAGAATAAATAAAAAGGGTTTAGGAAATTTCGATTCTTTTCGTATATCTCCGAAAGTATTCGGAATATTTCAAGTTAAAAGAGCATTTTGTTAGGCATGACATTGCTCAACCGTGTTATAATTTAACCGACCCTGTATCTCTTACGGTTACACCCTGTAACAACAGCATATCTTTTTAGCAATCTCAAGATTATCTTGCCTTGGCCTTGGTTTTCTAAATAGGTATTTCGCTCTCTAGGCATACAAATAGTTATTTTAAGTTAATTATATCAATTTTAATGAAATGGGTAGTTGATTAGTACCAGACTTATTGAGATTTTGAAACTGACGATAGCCAAATTCTCTTATTCTTGAAAAAAGTGGATGGTATGATCAGTAGACAGGGCAAACAAATATTACTCTTCATCCCTTAACTTCTTAACGCTCTGTAGAAATAGTGAATGGTTGAGGCTTCATCATGTTTTGGATTGAAGTGTTTTGGCATTTTTGAATTATTACTAACAATAATTTAGAACCATTCTCCAACTAGTCCAGCAGATTCGTGGGATCATTGTAATCTGGTACACATACAGGGTGACCGTTTTTCAAGCTCCACCATGGAAATCTCAGTGGTACGAGGTCGGTTGAATCAGGGCAAAATTGCGCATTTTTTTTATTATTAATTATTAAAAGCTTTCATTTAACTTGCATTGTATGTTTGTATGGATGTATGTATGTTCGTGTGGAATCTTTGAACTCAATTTTGAAGTAGAAATCTTCAACCGATTGAGCTGAAATTTTGTTTGTATACACGTTCAGTTTGGATGACAATCCACGATAAGGTGTGTCACGTTATTCTAAATCCAATATGGTGGACTATCCAAGATGGCGGAATAGCTATTTTTGATATACTTTTACAATATGGATATCAAATGAAAAGGCTCGTTGAGAGTAACTAGGAAAATGATGTGACGTCATTCTAAATCGAATATGGCGGACCATCCAAGATGACGGAATGGTCATTTTTAATCTACTTCTACAATATGGGTATCAAATGAAAGGGCTCGTTGAGAGTTATTCTAAAAATAATGTGACGTTATTCTAAATCCGATATGGCGGACCATCCAAGATAGCGGAATAGCTATTTTTGATATACTTTCATAATATGGGTATCAAATGAAAAGGCTCGTTGAGAGTAACTCGAAAAATGATGTGACGTCATTCTAAATCCATTATGGCGGACCATCCAAGATGGCGAAATGGTCATTTTCAATATACTTCTACAATATGGGTATCAAATGAAAAGGCTCGTTGAGAGTAAATCGAAAAATCCAGCTAGCGATAACTAAAAATTAAAAAATAAATTGAGAGTGAAAAAAAAGTTTTTAATAAAAAGCTTTCATTTGAACGCTCTAAAAAGAAGAAAACAAAATTTTTCTTAATAATTTTAACCATCAACTTATAACCTCATTATACACAATTTATATGATCATAAAAGCATTTTCATTTAAGAATTTTGTTGCAATCAGGATTATTGAAACAATTTCTGTATGTATGAGAATTCTTCATTGTACCTATGCGAAATATAGACAAAAGTGGAATCGAAGAGAATGTTTTTGATATACTTGCATATTTCCAAGAAGTCTGTCTAAAAATGAAGCTCTACTCTAAGTGAGCAATTTATTTTATGCTTTATTATGTTCTGGTTCCCACGAAAAGGGATATCCTGTATTGTTCAGAGAACATCGTGAAACCAAGGAAAATAAGGTAGGAATTGGTGTTCTTCTTATATATTTCCAAGAACTCTATCTGAAAATGAAGCTCTACTCTTAGTGAGCAATTTATTTTATGTTTTTTTGTATGTTCTGGTTCCCACGAAAAGGAATATCCTGTAATGTTCAGAGAACATCGTGGGAACCAAGGGAAATAAGGTAGGAATTGGTGTTCTTCTTAAAACACCATATTTATGTGAGCAATAATTGTGCAATCAGAATATGGATACAAACCCGAGAAGTCTGAAACTTTGATACCTCAGCGAATCGAAAAGTTTTTATCTTCTACGTCAGATGGAAACTACTTATTCACGAAGGTGAGCAAGCAAGCCATTCATGTATCCTATGAACTGGACACATCTACAATAATTATTAGTTATTACTTATACGTTTCTCGTTGGTTGCATATCATGTATTATGTTCTCTATATATATATCCATTCCGTTCGAATTATTTTGTAGGTTAGCCAGGTGGGTTAATCTAATTTTCGGAATCATGGATTCTTTCCAAAGAGAGGAATTAGGAGTTCCTTAAAAAAGTATAGTATGTAACGCGTTTATAAACCCTTCTAGACACTCGTTTATTAAACACTCGTTGCGCTCGTGCTTGAAATACTCGTTACTAAAAAAGGACGTTTATAACGTTACATAATATATTATTCTACTCACGCTAAATAATTGATCATGAATTGATGATTTGTGATTTATTAAAAAAATTAAACACGTTACCATGGCAACACAATTTCCCAAACACATTACCATGACAATAGAGTTTTTTTACCACACCTTCAGTCGTCGTTCGAGTCCTGTTCGCCTGTTAATTGTAGGAACTGTCAACTGTCATTTTCGAATTTTGTTGCAATCAAAGTTATTCGAACAATTAGTATTTGTATCAGAGTTCTTCATGAAAAATGTTTAGGAATTGGAGACGAAAGTGAAATCGAAGAGAATGTTTCAGGTATATGTATAGGTACCCTTTCCTTGCATATTTCCAAGGATTCTAGGTTAAATGAAGCATATATGTTGGAAATTCATTTTATGCTTAGCATGACAATGAACCTGAAACACGATATTCATATGAGCGAGTTTATGCAATCAGAATATGGATACAAACCTAAGACATTGAAAACTTTGACACCTCAGCGAATCGAAGAATTTTTATCTACTGTAACATTATCATCAGGTATATTAACATTTACCTGTCGTTAGTGTCTAGGATACTGCTACTGTCAGCAATAGACTTTACAATTTATAAATATATTGTCATAAAACGTGTATTATAATTCTCACAAATATAACGTTACATGGTGTCAGAAGTTTGCGAATAGTAGATACATATATCCATTCAGTTTGTAAGAGGAGAGAATTAGGGCAGTTTGCTACGAAAAATGCCAGATCCACTACCAGACGAAACTGGAGTTTCAGGCATTCGGCCACCCAAATATATCACTCTGAATACTGAAAATATGGCTAATACCTGGAAAAACTGGATGCAGCAATTTGAGTGGTACGCAATAGCGACTCAATTAGCAAAAAAACCTGAGGCAGTGCAGACAGCTTTGAATTCCTAGGTGTCTTCTATGAATGTTTGTCAACATTTTTGGAATCAATGATATATTGAGTCGAGATTGTACTGATAGCGGTACTGAAACCAATGAAGATGATGAACTTGAAGTTCAGATCATTTTAACAGTTTCTTCCCAAGTGAAACAGGAACTGATTCAGGCCACTAGAGAAGATGAAGAACTCGAAAACCTGAAAACATTCATTCTGAATGGTTTTCCTTTGAGGGTAAGAAAAATTCCTGATTGTATCAGACATTACTTATGTTTTCGAGAAGAACTAGCTGAATATGAAGGATTGATATTCAAGGGCGAGAAAATAGTTGTTCCAAAATCATTGATCCCAAAAATGTTGACAAACATTCATAGAGGACACCTAGGAATTCAAAGCTGTCTGAACCGTGCTAGGCAAATATTGTATTGGAGAGGTATGAACACAGATATTGAAAACTTCATAAAGAAATGCAAAGTTTGCGAAACATCCCAACGTGCAAATTATAAAGAGACAATATGTTCAAAAAAAGTTCCAGATCTACCTTGGCAAATAGTGAGTTCAGATATATTTACATTCAAGGAAAAAAACTATCTGAATATATATGACAGTTACTCCGGGTTTGTGGACTTCAAACCTCTCAAATCATTGACCTCGATGGAGACAATCAACTATCTGAAAAATTGGTTCTCTGTCCATGGCATTCCTCAGATATTGGAAACAGACAACGGACCACAATATTTTTCGAGAGAATTCAGAGATTTTGCCACGCAATAGTCATTTCAACATTGTACTAGTAGCCCTTACCACCCAAGAGGAAATGGTTTAGCTGAAAGAGGCGTGCAAATTTCGAAAAACATTTTGAGAAAGTGCTATTTAGATCAGTCTGATGTTCAACTAGCTTTCATGAACTATCGAAACACCCCCCGAAGTAATCTGGGATCTCCAAATCAGCGACTTTTTAGTAGAATTACACGAAGTCTGATCCCGATGACTGAAACACTTTTGAGACCGAAAGTTATAGAGAACGTGACTGAAGAATTGACAAAACAACGGCAAAAACAGAAGACTTACGCAGATTATCATGCAAAAAAGCCTTCCGAACTTGAACGAGGAGATAAAGTACGACTCCGTGTAGATCATCGTCAATGGAAAGGTGCAGAAGTCATTGGACAGGGTGATAACCCAAGGCAAATCATTGTCAAATCCTCTGATGGTCATGTTTACCGACGTAATACTAGCCAGCTACATAAAACCAAAGCAGACTTTTCTCAAGATAATATTATTGAACCTGCTGAAGGACATTCAAATCTACCTTCTTCAAATGGAATGGTACCTGCTAGAGATTCAGTCGTGCAACCCAACCAAATGATTACAAGATCTGGCAGAATTATCAAGCCTGTGAAAAGAATGAATTTATGAATCTCATGTTCTTTTATGTAATTTGTTTTTTCTCTTTATAGGGGAGATGTAACATTATCATCAGGTATATTAACATTTACCTGTCGTTAGTGTCTAGGATACTGCTACTGTCAGCAATAGACTTCATAATTTATAAATATATTGTCATAAAACGTGTATTATAATTCTCACAAATATAACGTTACATCTACTACGTCAGATGAAATCTTATTCAGAAAGGTCAGTTGGGTAACTACTTGCATATTGCCTAAGACTGTTAAATGAAGCATATTTTTTTGTGGGGAATTCATTCTATGCTGAGCATGACAATAAACGTGAAACACAATGGGTTGACGTTAGTTGACCGAAAGTCTTATCGTCGAAAGTCAATTCGTCGAAGTCAATTCGTCGAAAGTCAATTGGCCGAATATGCCAATTGGCCGAATACGTCAGTTGGACTAAATTGGGGTCAATTCATCGAATTTCATAATATGTCACCTGATTGTCAAGTGAATAGTCTTGAATGCAGAATGGCTCAGCTCCGTAGCTCAAACGATTTCGTGAAGGAAAAATATTTCTCTTTTTTCATGAGGAATCTACAGTTTTCCGTTGTGACACTTATTTGTTAACACCCTGTATATTGGTCAGTGGGTGGAACATGACGGTGATACACAGATCTTTCGACGTTTGTATCAAAAATAGCTTGAATGCTTACCTTGGCTCCATGTTGAAGCAGTAAGTGGACGACAGCTACATTAGGATGTTCGTTGCTTGCTAAATATTCTACCAAAACAGGCCTTAGTTGCGAGTTTCTCTCGAATTCGTCGCCATAAACCTTCAAATTTGGATCGGCCCCCGCTTTCAGAAGCATCTGTAAGCATGTTCATAAAATAAACTTATTTTCGATAAAGGTATCAAAGATGTACTCAGTTTGGAAATATGATGATACTCTATATTATGTGAAGATTTGATGCAAGAATTTTCCAAAAGTTGATGTTATGTTAAAGAGTACAACAGATTACATACTTCTTGTTTGAATTAACTTCGAGTCGTCATCAATAGGTGGTAGCTACTCACACTAATAAAATTGATGACAATTCGAACGTGCTCGTTTATCTGATGAATAAAAGTGATCTCTCAATGGATTTATTCATTTATCTTTTTATTTATTTCAGTTATTTTGTTACATTTTTTCTTCATTGATACATTTAGAACAAATAATATATAAAGTATAATTAATTTCCTAGTAGGAATGACATGAATGATGAGACAGTGATTCCTGGTATAAGATGAAGTATTATCGACTGTTGTATAATTGAAATTATAAATAGTGAGAAAAACTCACATATCATTGAGATATGTAATAACAGTACTTATATTATGGTGAACAAGAATGATACAAAAAAAAAGAAAAAAAAAAAAGGAAATTCATAAAGTCTTTCAGCTTTGATCATTCCTTTGCATACAAATATATTTCTCCACTTTATTTTTGAATTGTATAATATTTGCGCTATTTTTGACATAATCTGGTAATTCATTGAATTTCGAAATCTCCTTATGTGTAAACATTTTTTGTCCAATTTTAGAATTCGCAGCTTCGAGATGAAACAAGTGAGATGACTATGAATTTGGGAATTCCTAATTTATATAAAATCTGATTCTAACATTTTACATAGTTACTGTTAAATTTGTATTCTTAGTAGGTAATAATAAGTATTTGTTATCAACCATTTCAAGTTAATTCGATACACATTATTTTAATGTAGATATTGTGCCTATTTTCCGAAAATGGAGGTTTATCGTACCTGTCCACAGGCAACTAATCCTTCAGGTTGGGAAGGTAAGATATATAAAAGTTAAGCAAGCCAACGTTAGTTTAGTTCATTGTACCAGTACCTGACGAAGCTACTGTGTTAGCGAAACATGTCGTGTGTTTAAAAAATTTTGTGGAAATCTTATCGTTTGTGAAGTTTTTACATTTATCATGGATTTCCATCAAGTAACGGTCGAGTCAATTCAAAATTCTAATGTTTCGTTCATAAAAATTGACAGTTTCGTATTGAATATCTATTATTGTAGTTATTTTGTCAACTGAACAAATCAGTCGAGAGTTCACCTAATTCGACTCAAATAAAGTTGGAATTTGATGGTTTTTCTAGAGACTGACCTGGATTCCGATCTATTTGTCCATTTAATTCTCATCGGTAATATAAGTGGAATATATCTAGCGATTCTGAATAGATTATACAAATTGGTTCAAAAATTAAGACCAGATGAAAATTTTACCAAAATCAAGATAACCATTCTGTTCTCCTGTATCTCAGTAATAAAAGACGGTAGACACATCAATGGGAGGTGTTTTGGAACCATATTAGAGTGTCCTCTATCTACAGGTATCGTATGTACATTCAAATCTAAACCACCCTGTAGAATGAAAATGAATGATGATGCCAGTCTTTGTGATTGCTTTCTTAGTAATAAAGAAGGTTGCTCACCGTTATAATGTTCAGTCTATTTGGTATATTGTCAGCACAAGCTACGTGCAAAGGTGATCCTATTATGGGAGAGCTGCAATTCACGTTTGCACCTGAAAATTGAAAAATCTATTGATATATTGCTGACAGATTCTCATGTTTCCAGCAAGATAGCACATACATATAAATTAATATTTCCGATGTGATTATTTCGAAGTGAAACTTTGAGGTTTCTAACAGAAATACCTAACAAGTGTCAAAACTATCTATACTCGAGTTATAACATAAGAAAAGGTGAAATTTTGGATCAATGATTTACTGTTGCATTTCAATTAACAGTACTGATGTGAGGTATGGAGTCAGTAGCAAAGCCTACATATATACTCACCAGATCTTATGAGCATCTCGACAATATGCGGGTCACCTTTGAGTATCGCTAGATCCAGAGGACTTGGTTTCCCTAAATCGTATTCTTCATCGTAGTTCAGTTTGGCTCCTTGTTTTATCATCAAATTGACAATTTCGTAGTTTCCAGATAGTACTGCGTAATGTAGAACCTAAAGAATTTAACAATTCTTTCACATGCCGTCTGTGAGTGAAATAGCTATTGTGATAGTTCCTAATGACTTTGAAAATACTCACTGTTCTATAATCATGTCGTTCATCTGCAATAGCATTCACATCTGCACCATATTTGAGCAACAATAAAACGGCATCCATGCCCTGCAACAATCAGAAGAAGATATTTACCCTAGTCAATACTGCCAAAAACATCATCGAACTGTTTTATAATAATTGAGAAAAAGACCTTGAATAAAACTCTTTAGGTAGCTACCTATAATTTGAATTCATATATGAATAAAATCCAGTGACTACTCCCCAAAGCCTGTGGGGTGAATAATCACTGGGACCGAGAACTGTGTGCCCTGATTAAACGCAATGATCCGAGTATGACGGCCATCTGCATTCCACCAGCCAGGATGTGTGCCTTATCACTGCATGCTGGGATTTTCTGGATTTCCGAGAGCAGCGTATGCCGTGTATTATTATTATCATCTTAATTCATATTATTCCAGTCACTACCCTGCGGCCAGAGCCGTGCTGGATAAACTTCAGTGACTACTCCCCACAGCCTGTGGGGTGAATAACCACTGGGACCAAGAACCGTGTGCCCTGAGTAAACGCAATGATCCGAGTATGATGGCTTTCTGCATTCCACCAGCCAGGATGTGTGCCTTATCGCTACACGCTGGGATTTTCTGGATTTCCGAGAGCAGCGTATTTCGTGTGCCTCCTAGGGAGCCGATTATCAGGATGACCAATTCCACAGAATGGTCTGGATAGAGCCTGTGGAGTTCGAAGAGAAGATCTCAATATTTAGTCTGTTTCTCCTCCTCCTTCAAAACGATGTTCGGTTCGGCTAACGCCGAAAACTCTATCACGAACATTGCTTTGGTTTGTTGGTCGAGGAGGACTACATCAGGCTAGTTAGCTTGTATTTGCCTGAGGGTGGGGAATGAGAAGTTCCAATGGATTCGGCACCTCTCATTCTCCACTACACACTCAATATCCCCTGGAGCATAGGGCAGCACTGGGGTCTCGTCTATTCCGTACGAGTGCCTCAAATGATAGTAGAGCACTCGCAATGCCGCATTGTGTCTGTGGATATAGGCCGAGACTGCATACACTGTGCAAGTAGATAACAGCAGGTGCATAATTCTCTCGAGCGCCCTGCGGCAGGCCCTGCAATTTGTTTCAGGGACCTCTATACCCATGACACGGCTACGGTAGATGAGAGTGTTAAAAACCTCATCCTGGCATGCCATGATAAACCCCTCTGTTTCCGATTTGAGCCAGCCTGACTTGAGAAAAGCAATAGTCAGTTCTTTGGATAAGCCCCGTTCTTCAATGGTCTTGAAGTAGACCGAATGCATGGGCTTATCAATGTGAAGCTGCAGGAGCTGTCTCACTTCTGCAGCTTTGATGCGGGCCTTCCTCCGAGCGGGCTCTAGCTCAGTAACTGAGTCCTGAGCCTCGCGCTCGAAGTCGAAAATCAGAGACAATTCATCGGCTGCTCGACGTGCTGTCCTATGAAGAAAAGCTCCTACTTCTGCCTCTTCATGGGTTTTAACCATTTGCAGGAGGGGATCTGAACTCCTGATGACTTTGCAGGCACCATCCAGAACCATTCTGTTATAGAGATACCTCTTCCTCCTGGATGTGAGTTTCCTCTACACCCAGGTAGGTGTACGTCTCTCCGGCATCCAGGTGGTGTAGGATGCTTCCGTCCACGAGCTGCGCGTCCTTGTCGTAGTTCTCGCATCGTCCTCTCTTGAGATGAACCAGTGCACATTTGTCCATTTCGAATTCCATTCCAATTGCCTGCGTGTACTCCTGCACCACCCTGAGGGATTGGTCCATATCCCTCTCACCAGAGGCATAAAGTTTGAGGTCATCCACATAGAATGGTGAGGTGACCTTATGTCTCCGGTAACTGGGTGGGTCGCAGTTGTACCCATGGTTCTCCTGAGCTCAACGGATAGTGGCAGAATTGAGATGCAGAATAGGAGAGGGCTAAGGGTCCCCTTGGAATACTCCTCTCCTTATGATGACTGGTTATGTTTGGACTCTCGCATTACCTGATGTTATGGTGAAGCGGGTCTTACAGACCAGCATCAGTTGTTCTATGCATCTCACTATAGAATCGGGTACCGAAAGACACTTGAGCAAGTACACCAGTAACTCATGTGTTGTGTAAAATGCCTTTCGGTAATCGATCCAGGCCACAGAAAGATTCCGCTCGTACTGCACGGAGTCCTGTGTAATAGATCTATCTATCAACAGGTTGTCCTTGCAGCCAGCGACACCTCTCTTTGACCCACTCTGCTTAAAAATCCGTTGGTGAACCGGATCAACTACTAGGAGTACCTACTTGCATGTACAAGATGCGTGTGAACAACTTGTAACATGCATTCAGGCAAGTAATTGGTCTGTAATTCTTTGGATTGGACGAATCTTCAGTCTAAGGAAGAAGCACGGTTCTCCCCTCGATAAACCACTCAAGGAAATATCCTTGCTAAATGGTGGTGGGTAGGGGGAAACTTTTTCCACCAGAAATTATTGATCCCGTCGGGACCACGAGCAGCAGAGTTCTTGGAGCCTTAGAGGGCTTCTCGAACCTCCTCAATGGTTATCGGTTAGCGCAGTAATTCGGGCTCAGGCTCTCGGTATCTTCCGCAGAAGGTACCGAACTGCGCCAGGGCTGGAGTTTCTCTGTTGAACCGTGTGCCCTGAGTAAACGGAATGATCCAAGTATGACGGCTAGATTTTGCGCCTCATCACGGCATGCTGAAATTTCCTGAATCTCCGAGAGCAGTTAATATCGGGTACCTCCTAGGGAGCGGATTATCAGGATGACCAGTTCCACAGCATGGTCCAGTGTGGAGTTCGAAGAGAAGATCTCGATTTAGTCCGTTTTTCCTATTCTTCCAAAATGATGTTCGATTCGGCTGGCGACGAAAACAAATATCACTTTGGTTTGATGGTCGAGGCGATATATATCAGGCTTGTAAGCCTGTATCTGCCTGAGTGTGGGGAATGAGAAGTTACAATAAGTTCGGCACCTCTCATTCTCCACAATGGACTCAATATCCCCTAGAGCATAGGGCAGCACTGGAGTCTCGTCTATTCCGTACGAGTGCCTCAAATGATAGTAAAGCACTCGTAATGTCGTATTGTGTCGTATGGATATAGGTTGAGACTGCATTCATCGTGCAAGAAGACATCAGCAGGTACATGAGTGTCCCGAGTGCCCTGCGTCAGGTCCTGATGCAGTTTGTATCAGGGACTTCTATACCCATAATGCGGCTACAGTAGATGAGGGCGTTGAAAACCCCATCATGGCATACCATGATGAGTCTCTGTCTCCGATTCAAGCCCGCCTGACTTCAGGAGAGCAAAAGTCAGTTCTTTGGATAAGCCCCGGTCTCCAATGGCTATGAAGTAGCTTTCTCACTTCTGAAGCTTTGATGCGGTCCTTTCTCCGAGCAGGCTCTAGCTGAGCCTCACGTCTAGAGTCGAAGATCAGAGACAATTCATTGGCTGCTCGACGTGCTGCCCAGAACAGAGAAGCTCTCACTTCTGCCTCTTCAGGGGTTCTGACCATTTTCAGAAGGGCATCGGAATTCCTGATGACTTTGCCGACGTCATCCTGAATAATACTGTCATGGAGATGCTCCAATAGCTCAAGAGTCCACGACCAGCTTGGTCTCTAGGTATGTATAACCGTGGAACGGACGAATTTGCATTCGCAATCTCCTATGGAGATGCATCATCTTGCGAGTACTTACGTGAAGTTGTCGCAGCTCGACTTGAGTCCATTCCATTACTCTACAGGAGTAGGAGTAGGATCGAAACAGGAATCATGTTAGTAGCAACGACTTTGTTCCTTCCCAACAGTTCTGACGACCAGATCTGTCGAAGCCGCTGCCGATACTTGCTATTATTATTATCATGATGATTATTATTATTATGATGATGACTATTATTATTATTATTATTATCATTTATTATACCTACAAGCACGTGAAAAACTCTTACCTGCGGCAGCCTCACAGCCTTCATCAGCGGTGTCAACCCCGACCTGTCTCTGCTATCAGGATTCGCGCCGAACGTAAGCAGCAGCTCGAGGAACTCCAGATCCGCAACCAGGTTGATCTCGGCGCCGAAGAAGTACCTATGGAACATAGTTTCACTTTTTAATACTTGAGGACTGCATACCGGGTGAGTGAAGTTCGAATACTTCTGAAGATTTTTGGAAAAACAGTATATTCGCGATTTCATGACTCTATTTGAATAGATGTAACAATAGTTATTCATACACCAAGGTAGTAAAGGATATCATGTTTACCCAGGGACCAAGATTATATCCAGAGACTTCAGCTGAGGGATATAAGGTCCCGTGGTAATACTACTCTTTACTACCAAGGTTAATATTACATTTTTTTTCACCACAAGCTATATATTTCAATCATTTCAATCATGTGATACCGAAATATGGACCTATTATCACTATGACAGCACTTATTTTCAATACTTAGACCAGTGTAAAACTCAACATGTGGATTCAAATATACAGGCTGATTCACGGTGAATGGCACATTAGACGTTTCTGAAGAACGCAACACAGGACTATTCTGAAAAGTTGGTGCCTTGGATAATTAGTTGTGTTCTATCGACCCAAAATATTCTCAGTGTTGCGACGTTGCCGCTTATATTGAAAAGGAGCAACAACTTTGATTTTTTAAACAAGAGTATATTATTCCATTTTTAAATTCTTCCTGAAGAGCTGAATACTTGGGGTCTAGCAGTAATAACTACAGAGTTATAGGATGTGAAAAATCGAGATTTTTCAACATTAGTAATATTTTGTGTCGAAACTATTCATAATTGGTCAAAACGGTTTTCATGCCCTATCCCAACATTTTATTTCCTATCAATTGATATTCAATTGGAATAAATACAGGGTGGTTCAGAATTAAGATTTTTGAACACCCTGTATCTATTTCAATTGAATTCCAATTGATAGTACATGAAAAGTTAAGATACACAGACATGGAAACCGTTTTGACCAATCATGAATAGTTTCGACACAAAAAATTCTTGAAACGATCACGATGAGCGTTAATTACACGTTTCTGGCTATTGTCGTTCTATATAGATGACAACCTAGTTAGGTAGTTAGTAGGCAGGAGCTATAATATTATTGTTGTGTATTCTTCGTCCCTAATATGCAAAACATATAGTCAATAATGTTTATCCATATCAAATGTATCTATTTCAATTTAAAATTGCTTAAATGTCACTAGGCGACCAGGCGCATGCGCCACTACCGAAGAACATTTGACTTCCTGAACCGGGTACGAGGTGAGAGTTCTACCGGCATTCAGATACCTACCTGTTTTCTCATTATTAATTTCGCTCGCTACATTCGCCCTGAAATTCAGGATCTTTTCTTACACTGTAAGTTGAATTCGGTTTAAAATACGCGTACGTATATAATTGTGAACGCTCCTCGTTCGTGTATTTTTCTACAAAGTGCGCCTTTGGGACTCTGCAACTGCTCCCAAGTTGCATTCAACACCGGCTGGCACCCAAGGGCCCTGAGAACAGCCAGCCAGAATCTGGGTGACACCATCAAGATCACCTTTCCGAACATTATATGGGGAGTCTGGTAAGTCGTCTAGTGACTATAAATATCGCAGTCGTTTAGTTTGGATTTTTGAGATTACAAATAATTCCCATTGAAATCTGATTAAGATACAATCCATTCATCTCTCCATTTTTTTTTTGAGCTAAAGAAAGTTCATGGTCCTTCGAGCCGGATTGTTCTTTGAAAAACTATTGTATAATTATTTCTCATATATTATAACAGGAAGAACAACATAATTGAATTATTCTTTCCTTGTACAATTATTGTTAGCCATATTTAAATTCACGCACATGAGTTATCTATAGATAGACAAAAAAGTGATCTGGTTTCATTCCACAAAATAAGTATCACGTGAAGAAAACAACATATGGGTCTAGGTCGTTCAGTTTTTGCGTATTCCGCACTGGGTACCTCTCGACTCTGACCAATTAGTTTTTTGTTACTATTTTTATTCCGCTTGAGGATTCCCCAATATTCTATTCAAGGCTATCAGCTGATACGCAGACTATTTTGAATTTCGACTTTCGCGCCATGGCTGATAAATTGAGAAGATCACAGGCACTACGTGAGAGCTGCCTCAAGGAAATTAGAATCTTAAGTACATTGGCAACTGCAGCTAAAGATGATAGGACGCAAAAAACTATTTTCAAAATTCGATCGATTGACGCAGATTCTTTACGCACTGAATTTTTAAAACACCACGCAAGCATTCTACAACTTCTGTCCTCCGACGTTAACGCAGATCTTGCTGCCGAAGACGTACATAAAGAAGTATTTTACCAAGATTTCTATCACGCACGAGCTATTTTTTCCGATTTATTCGAGAGTAATCTTGATCAATCAATGGTTGGCCAATCGACTCCTAATAATATGTCGCATGTCAAGCTACCTAAAATCGAATTGACCAAATTTAGTGGCGATTTTCGTACCTTTCCAACCTTCAAGGATATGTTTGATGCTTTAGTTGATTCCAATGATTCGCTGAAAGATATCGAGAAATTTAACTATTTGATATCATCTTTGAGGGGACCTCCCCTTGCGCTTGTACAATGCACGCCTATGGTAGCTGAAAATTATAAAACTGCCTACGATAGTTTGATTACTCGTTATTCCAACAAACGCGCGCAGGCCAATGCCTATTGGTTTGAAATCGAAAATCATGCTAAAATCACTTCGGATAATCCGTCAGCATTACGAAAATTATTGGATACATTTTCCGAGAATTTGGCAGGATTAAAAAACTTGAAATTTCCCACAACGGAATGGGATTTTATTCTCGTTAACATGCTATTAAAACGTGTAGATTCTGAAACTGCCAAATCCTTCGAAAAGGGACACGGGTCCACTGAAATTCCATCCTACGAAACGCTTTTTCATTTTTTAAACCAACATTGTACGGCATTGGAATCGATGAATTATACTACCACCTATAAAAATAAAAAAATGTCAACCACTCATTCACCAACTACTGGCAATAAGTTATGTAATAATTCGCCCAATTCTACCTTCAACCGCAACACCGCACATCTACGAGCCAATCGAGAACCTACTAGTTTTTCCAACTCCAATAATTTTTTAGTCCGCACTAATAATAAAACTTATCATAAATGTGTCCTCTGTAATGAGAATCATTTACTATTCAATTGTCCTGAATTTCTCAATAAATCGCAAAATGATAGATTTCAGTATTGCAAAAGCCTACACCTGTGTTTCAATTGTTTAAGTAATGTCCATGACATAAAAACTTGTGGATCTTCTTCAAATTGTTTAAAATGTGGCAAACGTCATCACACAACATTGCACTTTGAAAAAGAGCATGACAGATCGGTACCTAGAACTCCCGCTAACTCATCAGTTTCGCGCAATGTCTCAGAATCTTCAGTACCTCCTCTTGAGTCGCCATCATCCACAAACACCAACCCTTCACATTCAGTAACCTCTTGTTCTGCTTTTTTGAATCAAAATTCTAAAGTTCTCCTCTCTACCGCCATTGTTGAAATACGGGACAAAATGGGAGTGTTCCATCCCTATCGCGCTTTATTAGACTCAGGCTCGGAAACCTCCATCATTACGCAAAAATGTTCAAATCGTTTGGGTCTAATTAAATTTAATACTCCAACAACTATCCAAGGCCTTGGAAATCAAGATACTTTAATCAATACCGGAGGGGTCACCCTTTATGTTAAACCTGTTAAAAAATCACAACCAGTATTTATGATTGATTGTTTGGTTTTACCTACTATTTGTGATCGCTTGCCATCATCACCTATTAATATAAAATCGTGGCATCATTTATCAACTTTACCTTTAGCTGATCCAAAATTCGATTGTCCAGGAGAAATCGATATTCTTCTTGGAGCGGACGTATTTTCGCAAGTGTTGTTGAATGGCCGTATTTTTGGAAAACCGGGCGAACCGGACGCCTTTGAGACAATTTTTGGGTACGTTCTACTAGGAAAAATATGCAATACTAAGTATCCCACGGTCAATACTTTCTTCTGTAGTACCTCCCTTGAGAATAATTCTTTAGAAAATACGATGAAGCATTTTTTCGAAATTGAAAATGTTCCAGAAGTCAATATCTTATCCGCAGATGATGAAAAATGCGAACAAATTTTTCGTGATAATTTTTCTAGGAACGAAAATGGTCGGTTTATAGTACCGCTACCTTTTCGTGAACCATTTCCGGTTTTTCCAAATATTCGAGACTTGGCCATTAGACGTTTTTTATCGCTGGAACGCCGTCTAGTAAAAAATCCGAAGTTACATCGCGAGTATTGTCATTCAATGAGAGAATATTTAGAATTGGGGCACATGGAACCAGTTTCTAACGTAGATATACCCCTTAGAAGCTACTACATACCTCATCATTGTGTATTCAAACCCGAAAGTACTAGTACGAAAGTAAGAGTCGTTTTTAATGCTTCTGCTAGGCTTCCGGGGGAACCCTCCCTGAATGATTGTTTATTTGTCGGTCCTAAACTTCAAAATGATTTATCAACAATATTATTGAATTTTCGATATCATAAGATATGTTTCACGGCCGACATTCGACAGATGTATCGGCAAATACTTGTTTGTTCCGACCATTGTGATTATCAGCGCATAATATTTAGATTTTCACCCGATGAGTCTCTTCAGGATTATAAACTTTTAACAGTTAGTTTTGGCATTTCGAGCAGTCCCTATCTTGCTATACGCACACTCCTTCAGCTTGCGGCCGAAGAAGAATCACTATTTCCAAAAGCATCCGCTATTCTACGTAGGGACACCTACATAGATGATATTTGTTCGGGCAGCAGTTCTCTAATCGAAGCTAAGGCGCTGCGCGATGAACTGATTGCTTTATTATCGAAAGGCTGTCTTGAACTCCGCAAGTGGTCGAGCAATGACCCTTCGCTATTGAAAATGTTTCCATCTTCGCATCTTTCAATCGACCCTCTTGCTTTTGAGCATGAAACGGACGCTTCACTAAAAATTTTAGGTTTACGTTGGAACCCGTCTGACGATTGTTTTTTCTTCAAGGTTAATATCATAGAACGCCCATGTACTAAGCGTAATATTTTATCAGACATCGCCCGCGTGTTTGACCCAATTGGGTTTCTTACGCCCATCACTTTTTATACGAAAAATTTATTGCAAAAACTTTGGATTCTTGGCCTTGATTGGGATGATACCCCAAATAATGAAATACTGAGAGCATGGTCAAAATATAAATCAGATTTACATGCACTATCTGATATTCGCATTCCGCGACGAGTTATTTCGGATAATTATGATCTTTTAGAAATTCACGGGTTTGCGGATGCATCCGAGAAGGGCTATGGGGCCGTAATATATTTTCGCTTGTGCCATTCAGGCTTATTTTCTACTTATTTTGTTTGCGGGAAGTCAAAGGTTGCCCCCACCAAACGAGTAACTATTCCTCGACTGGAATTGTGCGCTGCTGTCTTGCTCTCAAAACTTATGAAATGGGTGACTCGTGCATACGAGGGGAAGTTGATATTTGACCGGATTTATGCTTACTCTGATTCAAAAATAGTTTTGGCCTGGCTCAAGGCAGATGCGTCCCGATGGTCCACATTCGTAGCCAACCGAGTCTCGTATATCCAGGAAAGAATTCCAATAAATTCATGGTTATATGTAAAGTCTCAATATAATCCCGCCGACGCAGCCTCGCGAGGCATGTTTCCCTCCGAGATAATTGAAAATAAACTTTGGTTTGAAGGGCCGCATTTTTTAGTCACTTCAGAAGACGTTTCGGAATTTTTGTTCCCCCCTCAGGATTGGGATACGCATGAAGAAGAACGACACAAAGTTTTCGCTACTATAACTGAAACCACGTTATTAGATGAACTTTTGAATAATTTCTCATCAATCACTAAAATTCAACGCATATTAGCTTACATTTTACGCTTTATCAATAACTGTAGATCTGATAAACGTTCGGGAGCAATAAGCGCCTTGGAACTCGAGTCCGCATTGCATGTTCTTATTAAACGCACACAACTCATTTCTTTCACAGAAGAATTGACTTCTAATTCGTTTTCAAAGCCTCTTAAAAAACTTAACGCTTTCATTGATTCACAGGGTGTTTTACGTGTTGGAGGACGTCTTACCTACTCTAGTCTAGCGTATGATAAAAGGCACCCTATTTTACTTCCCCGCCAAAGTAGACTGACCATTTTGTTAATTAACTTTTTTCACATCAAATATTTACATGCTGGATTGCGTACAGTTCAATTCCTTTTGAGTCAACGGTATTGGATTTTATCCTCACGTCGCGCTATACGCTCAGTTTTATCAAAATGTATCAAGTGTTGGAAAATATCTCCTATACCACTACAACCCCCGATGGGAAATCTTCCTAGTCCTCGAATCTCACAGGTGAAGCCCTTCTCGCATGTCGGAATTGATTATGGCGGTCCATTTTCCATTACTATGAGCCGTTATCGTGGATCGAAAACACAGAAAGCATACATATGCTTATTCATTTGCATGGCCACTAAGGCTATTCACCTGGAGCTAGCCTCCGACCTAACAAGCGAAGCCTTTCTAGCCGCCCTTCGTCGTTTCGTGTCTCGTCGTGGGCGAATTTCCGATTTATATTCAGATCGAGGTACTAATTTTATGGGATCATACAGACAATTGTCCGAAATAATGCAATCTGTAGCCGCTAGTGAAACTATTAATTTTCACGTACTTCCAGGAAACAGTCCGCATATGGGAGGCCTCTGGGAGGCCGGAATTAAATCCGTAAAGTCCCATATTAACCGCGTCATTGGAAGTCAAATACTAAATTATGAAGAGTTTTACACATTTTTGGTGCAGGTGGAAGCGATTTTGAACTCCAGGCCATTGACTCAAACGAGTGCAGACCCAAATGATATTTCGGCACTGACCCCAGGTCATTTTTTAACGCTTGAGGTACTCAGTGCGCTTCCTGAATATGATTTCACGGAGACTCCCATTGGTCGTCTGACCCGATGGCAACTACTGCAACGTTTGCACCAGGATTTCTGGAGACGATGGCATGTGGAGTATTTGCACACGCTTCAACAAAGAAATAAATGGTTGAAACCCGAAACTCCCGTTTCTACCGGAACATTAGTAGCTATCAAAAATGATAATTCTCCTCCAATGAATTGGCCATTAGGGCGTATAATTTCTTTACATCCTGGTGCAGACGGAGTAACCCGCGTCGCTTCGGTGAAGACGGCTAATGGGACTCTGCGACGTCCACTTGTCAAGTTATGCCCCTTGCCGATATCATAGATTTTCTCTCTGCTAACACACCTAATTGTCTATCTATAGATAATGTTTCCCGTTAACAAGGAAATAATTTTTTATATGTTTGTTCGTATTATCATAATTCTTTTTTTGTTTTTTCATTTATTCTTCAATTTGAGTTAATATAATTGATACATTAATTTCACTTAAAATGCACCTGCTTGTTGTGCATTTTGTCGGGGGAGAATGTTGTGTATTCTTCGTCCCTAATATGCAAAACATATAGTCAATAATGTTTATCCATATCAACATTTGACTTCCTGAACCGGGTACGAGGTGAGAGTTCTACCGGCATTCAGATACCTACCTGTTTTCTCATTATTAATTTCGCTCGCTACATTCGCCCTGAAATTCAGGATCTTTTCTTACACTGTAAGTTGAATTCGGTTTAAAATACGCGTACGTATATAATTGTGAACGCTCCTCGTTCGTGTATTTTTCTACAAAGTGCGCCTTTGGGACTCTGCAACTGCTCCCAAGTTGCATTCAACACCGGCTGGCACCCAAGGGCCCTGAGAACAGCCAGCCAGAATCTGGGTGACACCATCAAGATCACCTTTCCGAACATTATATGGGGAGTCTGGTAAGTCGTCTAGTGACTATAAATATCGCAGTCGTTTAGTTTGGATTTTTGAGATTACAAATAATTTCCATTGAAATCTGATTAAGATACAATCCATTCATCTCTCCATTTTTTTTTTGAGCTAAAGAAAGTTCAATTATACTTCCTCGCACTAGGTCGCCTACTAGGTTTTCATTTAGATCGACAATGTTCTGGCAAACCAGGCAACGGGTAAATCTGAAAATTCGAAGGTATGTATATAAACTGACATGATCTACACGTCTGAAATATTCGCAACGTCTAACGTTGCCGCTTCTACTAGAAAGTAGCAGTAACTTTGATTTTTCAAATGGGACACCCTGGATTCTTCCTGAAGAGCAGATTTCATCGACTCACAACGTTCGGGGTCTAGTGGGACAAATAACTGAGATATTCAGAGCGTGAAAAATCGAGATATTTCAACATCAGAAATATTTTGTGGCGAAAATAATTATTGTTGATCACGACGGCTTTCATGTCCCTATCTCAACTTTTTGTTCACTACCTACTGACATTCAATCGAAACAAATACAGGGTGATTAATAATTCAGAATTCTGCACATTTGTTTCAATTGCATATCAATTCAAAGTGAATGGAAAGTTGAGATAGGGACATGGAAGCCGTGTTGACCATGCAATAATGAATACGAGAATAAATAGTTTCAACACAAAAAAATTCTAAAATTGGAACATCTCGATTTTTCACACCCTATATCTTAGGTATCAGTCCCGATAGACCCCGAATGTTGTGAATCGATGGAATCAGCTCTTCAGGAAGAATCCAAGAATATGATGAAATAAAGGTTGTTTCATTTGAGAAATCGAAGTTGCTGCTACTTCCTAGTGGAAGCGGCAACGCCGGATCGTTTCAAATATTTCAGACGTGTAGATTATGTTAATTTATACATACCATCGAGTTTTCAGATCTATCCGTTGCCTGGTTTGCCAAAAAAGTCTAATTAACGCTTATCGTGAAAAGCCCTGTATAGTTTTGATGACGGACCTGCAACTATAATTTCTAAAAGTCTGGATGGATACAAAGAACGATCAATAAATCTTCGTCTGATTTCACTTCATACCCCAAAATGAGCAAAAATAATATTTTGAGACAAAATATGAGTGGTAAAAAAAACGTCTGTGCATGAATAAGAAGTACATCGTTGAATATACATGTTGAAGCTCTTCTAAGATATTGCCAAATAATTGCAAAATTCAAATGTATAGGGTGTTGTTTTTGGGCATAAAAAAATTGTTTATTTCATGTGAAGTCGGACATGGATTTTATCTTTTGTTGATGCCTCAATCAATTCGATAGGATAGATTGAGTAAGGGTACCAATTTTCGACAAAATATACAGGTTGGTTGGAAAGTTATGAGACAATGAAGATATGGGAAAAATTGATGAAACATCCCGTATCTCGGTTATAAGATGTCGAAGACCCATTAGCCATGGGTTTTTTGAAATCACCCCAGTGACCCCTTTCCACAGTTGAATTATTCACCTTTTTCAATGAAACCCTCTTCATAAATAGTTATAATATGGATGGATGGAAATATGAAAGACATCCCGGCGATTGTTCCCGATTACTTCCAAATTGATTTATTAGGTCAACATGTTATATTACCGTAGGAATATTAGGTTTTACCGCAAAAAAACAAATGCATTGTGCTTGTAACTCGAGTTTCTGTTGTAATTATTTCCTTTCCAGAAACTCGAAGTTAATGAATATTAGAATACACTTCACCAGCGCTTATGAAATGTCGACCTAGGACTATACAAAGTGAATTATCTAGGATGAAAACTATTAGCTGTAGGTGGATGATATTATAGCTACAAGTTCATGCGTTCAGAATTATCATTTTTCTAGAGGCGAAAGGTAATTGTTTCTGTAATAGGTATTATTTTTCTTATCACAATACGAAATGTGTCAAAAAATCGTTTTACTTGGACCATTTTTTCCGTGTATAAACATTGCGGGTTGCCTGAACAATAATTTTGGTCCCTTCCAGGTGTTTATATTGAGTTTATTGGACTCTAATGGGAAAATCTTGTCAAAGGAGTCTCATAAGTACCTTTTGTTGGGATCGGCGCCATGTTCGAGCAGCATCCTCGCGATCTCCGTGTGCTTGTTGCGGATGGCCAGACGCAGCGGCTCGTCGCACTGCGTGGTGCGCGGGAACTCTTCGGCCGTGTTCGGCCGGTAGTCGACTTTGGCGCCCGAGGCGAGCAGCAGCCGGACCACTTCCGTGTATCTGGAAGAGCGACATTAGCGTTTCTCAGAGGAGAAAATGAACTCAAAGTCGGTCAACCATATCTATACTAATATTGTGAACAGGAAAGATCTGTTTGTTTGTTTGTTTGTTTGTTTGTTTGTTTGTTTGTTTGTTTGTTTGTTTGTTTGTTTGTTTGTTTGTTTGTTTGTTTGTTTGTTTGTTTGTTTGTTTGTTTGTTTGTTTGTTTGTTTGTTTGTTTGTTTGTTTGTTTGTTTGTTTGTTTGTTTGTTTGTTTGTTTGTTTGTTTGTTTGTTTGTTTGTTTGTTTGTTTGTTTGTTTGTTTGTTTGTTTGTTTGTTTGTTTGTTTGTTTGTTTGTTTGTTTGTTTGTTTGTTTGTTTGTTTGTTTGTTTGTTTGTTTGTTTGTTTGTTTGTTTGTTTGTTTGTTTGTTTGTTTGTTTGTTTGTTTGTTTGTTTGTTTGTTTGTTTGTTTGTTTGTTTGTTTGTTTGTTTGTTTGTTTGTTTGTTTGTTTGTTTGTTTGTTTGTTTGTTTGTTTGTTTGTTTGTTTGTTTGTTTGTTTGTTTGTTTGTTTGTTTGTTTGTTTGTTTGTTTGTTTGTTTGTTTGTTTGTTTGTTTGTTTGTTTGTTTGTTTGTTTGTTTGTTTGTTTGTTTGTTTGTTTGTTTGTTTGTTTGTTTGTTTGTTTGTTTGTTTGTTTGTTTGTTTGTTTGTTTGTTTGTTTGTTTGTTTGTTTGTTTGTTTGTTTGTTTGTTTGTTTGTTTGTTTGTTTGTTTGTTTGTTTGTTTGTTTGTTTGTTTGTTTGTTTGTTTGTTTGTTTGTTTGTTTGTTTGTTTGTTTGTTTGTTTGTTTGTTTGTTTGTTTGTTTGTTTGTTTGTTTGTTTGTTTGTTTGTTTGTTTGTTTGTTTGTTTGTTTGTTTGTTTGTTTGTTTGTTTGTTTGTTTGTTTGTTTGTTTGTTTGTTTGTTTGTTTGTTTGTTTGTTTGTTTGTTTGTTTGTTTGTTTGTTTGTTTGTTTGTTTGTTTGTTTGTTTGTTTGTTTGTTTGTTTGTTTGTTTGTTTGTTTGTTTGTTTGTTTGTTTGTTTGTTTGTTTGTTTGTTTGTTTGTTTGTTTGTTTGTTTGTTTGTTTGTTTGTTTGTTTGTTTGTTTGTTTGTTTGTTTGTTTGTTTGTTTGTTTGTTTGTTTGTTTGTTTGTTTGTTTGTTTGTTTGTTTGTTTGTTTGTTTGTTTGTTTGTTTGTTTGTTTGTTTGTTTGTTTGTTTGTTTGTTTGTTTGTTTGTTTGTTTGTTTGTTTGTTTGTTTGTTTGTTTGTTTGTTTGTTTGTTTGTTTGTTTGTTTGTTTGTTTGTTTGTTTGTTTGTTTGTTTGTTTGTTTGTTTGTTTGTTTGTTTGTTTGTTTGTTTGTTTGTTTGTTTGTTTGTTTGTTTGTTTGTTTGTTTGTTTGTTTGTTTGTTTGTTTGTTTGTTTGTTTGTTTGTTTGTTTGTTTGTTTGTTTGTTTGTTTGTTTGTTTGTTTGTTTGTTTGTTTGTTTGTTTGTTTGTTTGTTTGTTTGTTTGTTTGTTTGTTTGTTTGTTTGTTTGTTTGTTTGTTTGTTTGCTTGCTTGCTTGCTTGCTTGCTTGCTTGCTTGCTTGCTTGCTTGCTTGCTTGCTTGCTTGCTTGCTTGCTTGCTTGCTTGCTTGCTTGCTTGCTTGCTTGCTTGCTTGCTTGCTTGATTGCTTGCTTGCTTGCTTGCTTGCTTGCTTGCTTGCTTGCTTGCTTGCTTGCTTGCTTGCTTGCTTGCTTGCTTGCTTGCTTGCTTGTTTGGTTGTTTGTTTGTTTGTTTGTTTGTTTGTTTGTTTGTTTGTTTGTTTGTTTGTTTGTTTGTTTGTTTGTTTGTTTGTTTGTTTGTTTGTTTGTTTGTTTGTTTGTTTGTTTGTTTGTTTGTTTGTTTGTTTGTTTGTTTGTTTGTTTGTTTGTTTGTTTGTTTGTTTGTTTGTTTGTTTGTTTGTTTGTTTGTTTGTTTGTTTGTTTGTTTGTTTGTTTGTTTGTTTGTTTGTTTGTTTGTTTGTTTGTTTGTTTGTTTGTTTGTTTGTTTGTTTGTTTGTTTGTTTGTTTGTTTGTTTGTTTGTTTGTTTGTTTGTTTGTTTGTTTGTTTGTTTGTTTGTTTGTTTGTTTGTTTGTTTGTTTGTTTGTTTGTTTGTTTGTTTGTTTGTTTGTTTGTTTGTTTGTTTGTTTGTTTGTTTGTTTGTTTGTTTGTTTGTTTGTTTGTTTGTTTGTTTGTTTGTTTGTTTGTTTGTTTGTTTGTTTGTTTGTTTGTTTGTTTGTTTGTTTGTTTGTTTGTTTGTTTGTTTGTTTGTTTGTTTGTTTGTTTGTTTGTTTGTTTGTTTGTTTGTTTGTTTGTTTGTTTGTTTGTTTGTTTGTTTGTTTGTTTGTTTGTTTGTTTGTTTGTTTGTTTGTTTGTTTGTTTGTTTGTTTGTTTGTTTGTTTGTTTGTTTGTTTGTTTGTTTGTTTGTTTGTTTGTTTGTTTGTTTGTTTGTTTGTTTGTTTGTTTGTTTGTTTGTTTGTTTGTTTGTTTGTTTGTTTGTTTGTTTGTTTGTTTGTTTGTTTGTTTGTTTGTTTGTTTGTTTGTTTGTTTGTTTGTTTGTTTGTTTGTTTGTTTGTTTGTTTGTTTGTTTGTTTGTTTGTTTGTTTGTTTGTTTGTTTGTTTGTTTGTTTGTTTGTTTGTTTGTTTGTTTGTTTGTTTGTTTGTTTGTTTGTTTGTTTGTTTGTTTGTTTGTTTGTTTGTTTGTTTGTTTGTTTGTTTGTTTGTTTGTTTGTTTGTTTGTTTGTTTGTTTGTTTGTTTGTTTGTTTGTTTGTTTGTTTGTTTGTTTGTTTGTTTGTTTGTTTGTTTGTTTGTTTGTTTGTTTGTTTGTTTGTTTGTTTGTTTGTTTGTTTGTTTGTTTGTTTGTTTGTTTGTTTGTTTGTTTGTTTGTTTGTTTGTTTGTTTGTTTGTTTGTTTGTTTGTTTGTTTGTTTGTTTGTTTGTTTGTTTGTTTGTTTGTTTGTTTGTTTGTTTGTTTGTTTGTTTGTTTGTTTGTTTGTTTGTTTGTTTGTTTGTTTGTTTGTTTGTTTGTTTGTTTGTTTGTTTGTTTGTTTGTTTGTTTGTTTGTTTGTTTGTTTGTTTGTTTGTTTGTTTGTTTGTTTGTTTGTTTGTTTGTTTGTTTGTTTGTTTGTTTGTTTGTTTGTTTGTTTGTTTGTTTGTTTGTTTGTTTGTTTGTTTGTTTGTTTGTTTGTTTGTTTGTTTGTTTGTTTGTTTGTTTGTTTGTTTGTTTGTTTGTTTGTTTGTTTGTTTGTTTGTTTGTTTGTTTGTTTGTTTGTGCCGCGGCACATCGGAGTGGAGGGAAATGAACAAGCAGACATTGGACCAGAACCTTCTGCGGCCTTGGAAATTCCTATTTCCAAGAAGAACTTAATAAACCTGAAGAAGCAATGAGAGCAACACACTGGCGAATACTTCCAGGATTGTGGCAGGCCAAATATCTCTTCGGCAATTTCAACCGAGCAAGATCGAAGACACTAATCAATCTCAGCAAAATTAGTCTCAAAGCAATAACGGGATTTCTAACGGGGCATTGTAGACTCAAAGTACACCTAAGAAAGCTTGGCTTAGAGGAGGACACATCTTGCTGGAGTGTCTTGCTGTACACCACAAAAGATCGAATATACTGATAGCATACCAGCTGACCGTGGAAGAAATACCACAAACAGATCTCCTCGAAATTCTCCTGAAAGAATTGAAGCTCTAGGAGCTGCTTTAAACAAGAAACTCTGAGATAACAGAACAAGATGGGCCACAATAGATCTAATAAGGTCGCAGCGCATCTGTCACCATCCACACTTACCAATACCAATACCAATCAATAGTCCACCCGTTGAAAGTCAAATGCACAAAATCGTCTTCCGCCAACGCACTATCACATGCATTCTGCTTTGTCTCAAAACGAATAACGATAACGATGCTGATAGAATTCCACCAATTGCTCTCAAAAGGTTCCTATCCTGATGGAAAACAGCTGAAGTCTAACAAATACCCAAAAAGGAAAGCAACTATAGGCCAATCATCATGGTGAAAACCATTAACGTTGAGCTTATCAAATATCTGGAAAGCTAAGGAATCATGAATGATAGACAATATATGGCTTCCGAAGATAAACTGGAGTGATGCTTGCCTACGTCACCCATAAAAAAAACATGATGAATTTCTAGCTGTGGCGTTAGATATATCGACCGTGCTTGGCACCAAGGACTTTTTTACAAACTATCATCATATGGCTTACCACCTCAGCTATGACTTTTTTATCGGATTTTGTTTCAGACGAATCGCTCCATGCATGTAGTGGTAGACGGAGTTTCGTCTGATATACCATTGTCATCAATTCCGGCGGCCCGCAAAGATCAATTTTGGCACCAAAACATTGTTCCCACCCTGTATCGATGATTTGTTGAAAGTAACCGCCTTCCTTTCCCTCCACAGCTTTGCAGACTCCTACACGCTTTTTGAAATATTTCCTGTACGACTCCAAAATTTCAGATAAAAATTCTCTTTCAAAACAAAATGGCCGATAATAATGTTTGAAATCTCTTACCAGCATCTCTTCGACTAGATATAATACTTACCCATGTTCAGCTGACAAATGAAGAGGGCTATATCCGCATTCATCTGTCGCGTTGACATCACCGCCTCTTGTCAATAGAAGTTGGGCCGCCTCGTAGTATCGTTGCCAAACTGCATAATGTAAAGGCATGAGGCCTTGGGTCACAGGTTCGTTGACCTTGAAGAATAATTCGTATGAAAGATAACTGACAAGAAAATGAAGCCGTGAATTTAGTTCAAATATGCATATAACTTATATACAGGGTGTTAGTGAATAATTTCCACAAACTTCAGGGGATGATTCCTCGTGTTATTTCAAGGGATAAAGCTCATGATGATATAAATATGTGTCCTAGAGTGCATCTTGCTTCGTTTTTAAGATACCGAATGTTGAAGTTGGAAGTATTATTTGCCTTTATTGATGACCCCCTGTAGATTGTAGGTTGGTCGTATAGTTTCGGAGACCTCTCGATCACCTCTCGATGATTCCTCGTGTTATTTCAAGGGATAAAGCTCATGATGATATAAATATGTGTCCTAGAGTGCATCTTGCTTCGTTTTTAAGATACCGAATGTTGAAGTTGGAAGTATTATTTGCCTTTATTGATGACCCCCTGTAGATTGTAGGTTGGTCGTATAGTTTCGGAGACCTCTCGATCACTACGACCTAGTGTGATAACCCTTATCTAGTTTCACTCCTCTAGCCCTAGACTTCTAATGAAGCCTAAAATTTTTCCACCTCAGCAGGCGTTCAAGACCTCTTCTAGGCGATTCAGCCTACAGCATACAAAAGCGGCAAAAGTGTCAGTCTCCGCAAGACCCATCCTTTTGGGTTGGTTCCTCAGAGGGCAGTGTCCTGAGAGAAAGCCTGTAATAAGCTTCAGCTCCGGTTTGCTGAGGCTGATTAGCTCTTTGGCTCGAATTTGCGAATGGTTGATGAACCGTTTCGCTTGTCGTTGACCTTCAGGTGACATTTGCTTGTCCAACGTTCATGAATATTTTTCTCGAATGCAGAGATGATTTTGTTGAATATAATATACGAATACCAAACTAACTGCACAATCAAAGTTCTCTCATACTTTTTATGGGAGAGTAATTGTCTTCTATTATTAATTCATCATTATATAAATTTAGTTCTGTTTACAAAATTCGCACTGAATTTTTTTCAAGTAAAATATAGCAACAATAACCTGCTAAATAGGCTATTTCCGGCATGTCATCACTATATATATCTATATCAGATTCCACGACTATGATATCTGGATTGAGAGAATGATTTTCTTGGATTTCCTCGGTGAAATCAATATTTTCTTGGAAGCGCCTAATTTGTATATTACCGTAAGTATGAGATTTTAGCGTGAGCAGTGATTGAATTCTGAGCCTTTCTTCCGATTCATACAATTGTCGAATAGATATGTGATATTGTCCACCTGAAAGTTGTCGATATATTCCGCGAACCTATGTTCCAAACTTCCAAATCATCTGTTTGAAATTTTCCTAGTAAAACATAATTCATCCTGATTTCGTTAAAACAATATTGTATAACTTCTGCATTCCATATATAGTGTGAATCAATAAAGCAGTATGTGTTTGATTTGTTAGTTCATTAGTAGAATTTGCAGATTTCCAAGTTTCTAACCGATCTATCGTTTTATGCAAGAAAATGATTTTTCAACGGAACAAAAATTTATAGCTGGGATAGGTTCTTGAAACACATTATTCAAACGTTTGCCCTTGAGGGGAGGTAAAATGTAATTCACATAGTCTACTGTACTTGGATGGAGTAAAATCCTCGCGGTAAATTGCATATACCCACTTTTTCGATAGTTCCTTGTCCAACGAAAAACTGAAAGCATGAACTTTTGAACCACCCACATAATTCCTCCGACAAAAGAGATCACAAAACTTGAAAGGCATTGTTATTTCGCCAATCACAACACAAAATATTTCACAAAACAGTAATTTTTGCGCTAATTATTTTGATGAATTAACAACAAAAGAATTCGGGCACGCGACCGCGTCTCAAACATACTTAAACAAACTGACGAAGAATGGATGGCCTCAGTTAGAGCTGACGTCACGAGCTGGTCACTGCGAGGCCTTGTTAGTATCGGGGGTAACGCACGAACACCAACTGAGTCGGAGGAAAGAAACACTCCAGAAGAAATTAATTTTCAGATGAAATAGGGGTGACTGATTGCGCGACTGGCGTTTATTCAACTAGGAAAAAGCCAAATACTCGAAGTGGAATGCAATGGTCACAAAGAGGAGGAGACTCAAAGTCATTATCACAATTGATCATGAAATGAACGAAAATGGAAGATAACGAGAGAAAAACGACTACTTTTTTGCCACGCAGAACATTGAATTTCATCCTCCCGATATTTATGCAACGATTTGTAAATTCGAATACTGCTGCAAGTGATCCTTTCCTAGATGCTGAGTTGTTCAGGTACGCTTTACTACTTACAGACTGGTTTCGAGCCCTGGGGTCTCATCAGTGCAACTGTTCTGCGTGGCATATAGTCAGGAAAGTAGTTGTTTTTCTCTCGTTATCTACCATTTTCGTTCATTTCATGAATTATTGTGGTAATGACTTTGAGTTTTTCCCTCTTTGTGACCATTGCATTCCATTTTGAGTATTTGGTTTGTTCCTAGGTGATTATAGTGATGTCCTGCGAGTAATGTCTCTAAAAGTACCCGAGGAAGGAGGCTACGTCAGGCATTTGGGAGCAATTTAAACATAACGAATCTAGCTTCTAAATGGTTTTCCGAAGAGTTACATATCTTACCTTGGCCCCACAAGCCAATAGAATCCTTATTTCATCGAGAGGAACCATTCTTATTATGGAATCAGCCAATTCCCTTTGTAAAGGGTTCGTGATACATTCCGTAGGCATCTGAAAAAATAATTATGCATGAATCTTTTGTAGAAGTCCATATTGCTCAAAGTGCAGTGGAATTTTTCAAAGGGAGGGAGTAATGATCAAAGTCATCCCCACTAATTCAATTTGTTTTTTATGTTCTGTTTCCCACGAAAAGAGATTTCTTGTAATGTTCAGAGAACATCGTGAGAACCAAGGGAAATGAGGTAGGAGTTGGTGATCTTCTTAAATTTCTGGAGGTTATATGCCTCGGGGAACACCTCCCTTGGCAATGTGTTCCAGAGCCTCGCTCGTTGGATGAATGAGTCTTTGGAAAGAGATGTTCTGCAGGTCTCCAAAGTGACCACGATGGGGTGCGGAGCGTCAACTCAACGGGCTAATCTCGCGGGTACTGCCAGGGGAGGAACAATTGTTGATATTTCAGAGGAGTATTTTCCATGAAAATATCTATAAAATAGAGCAAGATCACCAACTTTTTTACGATGTTCCAGAGAAGTGAGTGAGTTTGTGAGCGAAGCATCGCCCACGTGACGAATTGCCCTTTTTTGGACAGAATCCAACAGTTTCAGGGTATGTTTGGGTGCTGCACTCCAAATATGGAAACAGTATACCAGGACAGGTCGAATCTGTGCCTTATAAATCATAAGCAGCTGACTGGAAGTGGAATAGCTCCTGGCCCGAAATAGAAAACCAAGTTTTCGGGATGCACTTTTAGCAATTGATCTCACGTGATTTTCCCAAGAAAGGTTATTGCTGATCGTAATACCAAGCATCGAAATGGAAATGTCGTTGTTACACGATCACGAAAATGTTCCGGTCTCGGAAAAGAACATTTTCAGCCTAATAAAAATTCCCTCATATGAAAATCTGGTTGATATTGTAGAATTTTCATCAGGCTGGAGATGTTTTTTTCTAAGACCAAAACATGCCCCTGATCGTGTTATAAAGTCATTCAAATTTGTGGATGAAAACTATTCCAGAAATTATCAATCCAATCGAGTTGTCTCAGGATTATATCCTCTCTCAAATCATTCTCACGTTCATGCGAATGTACTCACGTAATATTTTGTTAAATAATAAGTTTTATTGTACACAACCAAGTCGAACATCATTTTCTTGTTCATAAGTAGGTAGTTTATAGATTTTGACTTTGACAGAAGGACTCGTCGAACTGATCAATGAATAAATTTCATCACTACCTACATATGCCTTTCATCTATATTTAAATATGCAATACGCAATTTTTTCAGTTCAACGTCCATGTGAATGTTCGAGGACTGCCAAAATCAGATATCAATTTCATTCCCTGTCTATTTGAAATCATATTTTTCAATTCATTAAGCTATGACACACAGTAAACACAGGCATCAGCAAAATAGTAATTTTCCTAACAAGTGCGGAAAGATACTTTCCGCATGAGTTACAAACAATATTTTTTCTACAAGCGTAGGAACTTGATTGATTTGTTCAATCGATTATTCATTCATATAGGAACAACTAACAAGAGAAATATATTCTCTATCTACTGATTATTGTAATATAGCTATTGTGAACTTACAGTTTGACGCATTATGTATAGGTTCATTGCGGAAGCCAGCAGGCCCATAAGGTGTTTGGTCTTTAGGTTTCAGACACTTCTAGGTAATGAGCCAAAAATACTTCTTCTTTATTCGGTATCTTCATTTCTTTATTGTTGCACCATTCAATAAAATAGCTTCTCATACCTTTCATCTGTATCGCATCCCTATTGCTGGAAGTTTTTGATCACATTGTGGCAATTCCACTGAATCGAAAATGACAGTAACGCTGTGTCTGTCACTTCGACAATTACAAACTCATTTGAGGTTTGATTGGCATGACAACAATAATAATCGTTTCCCATCAGATCAATCGAAATCTATATGTTTATAATAATCAATTTTTAATTTTTAATATTTCTTAATTTTCACAATAATTAGTGCAATTTGATGCATGATTCTGAACATATGTATACTTAATACTGCAACAAACAAACTCAAACTCTCATATTTCATCACCTACCACTTATATTTTGCCATATTATCACATCCTTGTTTTTCCCGCACCAGTGCGGGAAAAATTTCCCGCACTAGTGTGGAAAAAATGTGTGAATCACGCACGGTTGTAGAAAAATACTTTTTTCTACAAGCGTGCGTGATTCACCCTATACCCGCACGCAATTTAGTTTGGGAAGTGTCATTTTCCCTCAGTAGTGCGGAAAAAGTTTTCGCACACTAGTGCGGGAAGGTTTTTCCCACAGACGTGCGGGAATAACATTTATACAGGGTGGACCACCAGTAACCTCGGTTTCTAGAAGGCTAACCACTTATCTTCTTGGAATTCTTTCTCTCTAGGAAGTTGCATGTCAACATAGGCTACCATTTAAAATTATTTCGAAACATATAGGGTGTCCCCAAAAACCATAAAACACTGAAGTTAAACTTTTTTCTATCGAACACCCTATATATTATTTCATTTTGAGATTCTCCCTGATGAGCTGATTTTAACGACCCATCATACTTAGGGGTCTAGCAGTTGTAATTACTGAAATATAGGGTGTGAAAAATCGAGATTTTCCAAGTTCAAGAATTTTGTGTGTCTAAACCATTCATAATTGGTCAAAACGGCTCACATCTCCCTATCTCAACTTTTGATCAACTATCTACTGATATTTAATTGAAACAAATACAGGGTGGTGCAGAATTCAGAATCTTGATCACCCGGTATATGTCCCAATTAAATATCAGTAGATAGTTGATCAAAAGTTGAGATAGGGACATGTGAGCCGTTTTGACCAATTATGAATAGTTTCGACACAAAAAATTCTTGAACTTGGAAAATCTCGATTTTTCACACCCTATATTTCAGTGATTATAACTGCTAGACCCCAAGTCTGAGGACCCTTCACAGTGTGCTGCGGAAATATCCGAGATCATCATGCTCGGAATGGACACATACATACCTCATTTTTCGAAAAGATCATCACCTTCGAAACCCTGGTTCAACAAAAACTGTTCTAGAACTGTTGCCTTGAAACAAACAGCCTACCATCGCTGGCGCAGAAACCCTAACCTCGCGACTAGAGCAGAATACGTTGATGCCAGGAATAACTGCAGCCAAACAATAGATTCTTCGAAAGAAACATACAATGCCAAGATAAGATCGAAACTCATAGATTGCCCCAATGGCTCTCGTTCGTTTTGGTCCCTTGCTAAAGCGGTCGGAAGAAATTTCACTAATAGCTCATTTCCACCACTGTCCAAATCCGACGGCACGTTAGCAACAACATCGCAGGAGAAAGCAAATATTTTTGCAGAGATGTTCGCAGCAAACTCTACTTTAGATTCCCAAGGAAAACTGCCGCCAGACATTCCACCCGTTGAGAGTCGAATGCCCGAAATCGTCTTCCGTCAACGCACTATCAGACGAATTTTGCTTGGTCTCAAAACGAATAAGGCTAACGGTCCTGATGGAATTCCACCCATTATCCTCAAAAAATGTGCACCAGAATTAACACCGATTCTCTGCAAGTTGTTTACCATCTCGTACAGGTCGGGTATTTTTCGATCATGCTGGAAGACAGCTAGAGTCCAACCAATCCCCAAAAAAGGGAACAAGAACCTGCCCAACAACTACAGGCCCATTGCCCTGTTATCAGTAATCTCCAAAGTGATGGAGCAAGCCATCAATATTGAGCTCATCAAATATCTGGAGAGCTCAGGAATCATCAATGATAGACAATACGGCTTTCGCCATCGAAGATCTACTGGAGATCTACTTGCCTACGTCACCCATTTATGGCAATCTTCAATAGAAAAACACGGGGAATCTCTAGCTGTCGCGTTGGACATTTCGAAAGCATTCGACCGTGTTTGGCACGAAGGACTCCTCCACAAACTACCATCATACGGCTTACCACCTCAGCTATGCCATCTCTTATCGAGTTTTCTTTCAGGCAGATCGCTCCACGTGGTGGTGGACGGTGTATCGTCTGATACCTTTGGCATCAATTCCGGCGTTCCACAAGGATCAATTGTGGCACCAACATTATTCCTGCTTCATATCAATGATCTGTTGGGAGTAACAACTTGCCCCATCCACAGCTTTGCAGATGATAGTACCCTCCATACTGCGTTCTCTTCCAGAATTCCCATTTCTTCCCAGGAAACTAAGAACTCACGGCGCAGGCAGGTCAATGCTGTCAATGAAGATCTTGCTGAAATCACAGCCTGGGGAACAAACAACCTAGTGGAATTCAACGCCACCAAAACTCAAGCCTGCATTTTCTCTAGAAAGGCGGAACTCAGTATGCCCGATATTGTGATGTCTGGCTCCACCATCCCCACCAAGCCCACCATATCTATGCTCGGTATTTCCATCAGCAACACTCTTTCATGGGATAATCATGTCAGATCCATCGCAAAAGCTGCTTCACAAAAACTCGGATTCTTGTTCCGTGCGAAAAGCTACTTTACACCTCAACAGCTTCTCATGATATACAAAGCGCAGATACGGCCTGTTCTAGAATACTGTTCCCACATATGGGGTTCAGCACCAAAACATACGCTGATGCTCTTAGATTCCATCCAGAGAAGAGCCATTCGCCTGGTGGGTGACGCCACACTCACTCACTCTTTGACATCATTGGAACACCGTAGAAAGGTCGGCGACCTTTCACTTTTTTATCGATACTTCCATGGGAAATGTTCTTCGGAAATCTCTGCTATCATCCCTTCACTAGCAATACCAATCAGACGAACTAGACAAGCCCAGTCAGCACATCCTTTCGTTGTCAACCTCGAAAGATGTCGAACAGCACTTTATCAAGACTCCTTCATCCATAGAACGGCTAGGCTCTGGAATTCATTGCCTGTGGAAGTATTCCCAACAACATATAATCTCCAAAAGTTCAAAAAAAATTCCAATACCTACCTCCTGTCCCTGTCCTCCCTAGGAACGCGCGATGTTCTTTGAACATTATAGGGATTCCCTTTCGT